TTGCTGAGGAAGACTGGCCCTGAGCTAACATCTGTGCCCATCTTCCTCTACTTTATATGTGGGACGCCTGCCACAGTGTGGCATGCCAAGCGATGCCATGTCCACACCCGGGATCTGAACCGGCCAACCCTGGGCCGCCAAAGCAGAATGTGCACACTTAACTGCTGTGCCACCAGGAGGCCCCCTAATCTCATCTTCTAAAGAAATGCTTCTTGTTTTATGTGCAGAAGTCCTTGGGCTCTCTGTTCTTTCTCCATTGCTGTTTGTCTGTTCTTGTGACAATAATATCCCATTTTATTATTTTGCCCTTGGAGTGCAGACAATCCTCACTTTGGACGATTCTGATTTGCATGAATTTCACTTAGCACAGTTTAGTTAAAAAACACCAGTCCTCCAACTACACAATTCAAAATTTAGTTCGCCGAGTAAATTAATTGTGAGTAACTGCAGGAAGTACAGAGCTCACTGCTAATTTCTCATTTCACTTAACACTGAGTAAATGAAAGGTGCACATTATGATCAGAGACCAGTCATATTGCTTCATTCAAAGTCTGTTGGTGATTGGTCACTGTGCATCTGTTATTCAGTTCACACACTGAGAGCAAAGCACGCAATTCTGTTGTCTCCTACTGTTCTACTGATATCCTTACATGACATTTCAAAAAAAATGGATACTCAAAAGAAGAAATTATCCCACAAAAATGAAAGTGCCGCAAAAAAATGGAAAGTGATAATGCTGGAAGTGAGCCAAATGTAAACGGAATTATAGAAGAAATAACTGCCCGTGAGAATGTTGACACTGTTGCTGGTGGAGAAACTCTAGATACACAACCAGAGGGGCTTAGTGAAGGTGAATTTATCAGCATAAATGAGAAAAGTAGTTTTGATGAAAAGGATGAAGATATTCCAGAGGAAGTGACGCCAGCCAAAATGTTCATATGAACAAACCTCACAGAGGCATCTCAGGACATTGGAAGCGCAAAGGATAAAATTTTGGCAACTGGTCCAAACTTAGAGAAAAGTTGACAATCTCCAAAGCATAGAAAGATCTTCAAGCCATGTCATAAGTTCTTTAATAGAGAAGGCAAACAACATTCAAACTATTCAATAGTCTTTTTATAAATATCAAAACACTTTAATTTTCAGTATATCTAATGTTTTACATTGCAGTGTACTGAGTGTTAGTTTTCCTATTTTTTTTCATTTCCATATGTATATATAACCAACACTAGGAGAATTTAATATTTTGAGAAAAAATTTTAAAGGTCCTGGAACAGTACTAATTTTTCTCATTGGTTATTTAGACTGTTTTGCATGATTTTGACCTACTTGATCATTTATTTGTGTGTGTGTGTAGTGAAAAGTGAGGACTGTCTCATATCTTAATATTTGGTGGGGCAAATTCCTTACGTTTATTTTTTTTTATAAGAGTGACTAGTTTTTGTTTTCCTTTATTTTTCCATTTGAATTTTAATTCAAGTTTTTCAACTTTTTGAAAAACTCCATTGAATTAGAGTTAAGATTACATCAACTCTGTAACTTAATTTAGGAAGAATAGACATCTTTATAATACGAAGTCATCTCATCCAAAATAATTATATATGTCCACATCTTCCAATCATCGTCTATAACCATTTCCATGATTCATTGAAGCTAAGATATTAATTGGTAGATACACCATTGTTTTATGGACAATTAAGAAAAAAGAAAATGAAAATACTGTTAATTAAATTATGACATAATATTTTCAAACCTCATTAATTATAAGACATTCCAAATTTGCAGATGTTATAAAGAGGGAAAATTTAGAACATATAACATAACTTTTAGAGTTTTAAAGTTTTCTCCTTAGAGATGTTGTAAATCCTCAGCTATGTTAATTCTGTGATACCTTATAACACAGGCTCTTGTAAATGATATTTTTAGAAAGTTTTACGGTTATTTATTATAAGTTTTGAGAAATACTGTTAATTTTTATATCTGATTTTAAATTTGGCCAATACGTGAAAGTCTGTTATTCAAAAGTTTGTATTTTAGTTATAAGATTTTTTTACATAGATGATATATTCCCTAAGAAATGACATCTTTATTCTTATCTAATTCTTACCTTCTTATTTCTCCATTTTTCTCCCCTTTATAGTATTGGTTAGAAGCAGCATAAATATATTAAGTGTAATGATGATATGGGTGATCCTTGCAACAACCTTAGCAATAGCGTTTGGCTACAATCAAAACCAGCAGCTGAGAGGAGGAAGGCCATCCGGATTTCTAGTTGGTCCTGAAATTATAAGCTTGTAACAAGTGGGAACCCGTAAGACTAGAAAGCTGTGAAATAACTTCCTAACGGTTCTCAAGGAGTCTTTAATTTTTGTGTGGGTTTTCCTCCATTAACCTCGTCTGTCACCGAGGAGTTTGATCTTTCTGTCTGGCAGCAAGTGGTCCAGGAGCTTTGATTTTAATTGTGATTTGTGTATTTTGTTTATTATTCTGTACCTTTTTTGTATTAGTGCCTTCTGTTGTTTGAAAACTAAATATTGAAAAGATGTCAATATTTTTATTAAATTTAATTGTATATTTAAACAAAATTTAATCCCCACGATGCAGGATTTGAGCTATACAATTTTATATTTAAAGATTGACACCTGAGCTAAAAACTGTTGCCAATCTTCTTTTTTTTTTCTGCTTTTTCTCCCCAAATCCCCCCAGTACATAGTTGTATATTCTAGTTGTGGGTCCTTCTAGTTGTGGCATGTGGGACACTGCCTCAGCATGGCCTGAAGAGTGGTGCCATGTCTGCGCCCAGGATCTGAACCAATGAAACCCTGGGCCGCCAAAGCAGAGTGTGTGATCCTAACCACTTGGCCACAGGGCCTGCTCCTGAGATACACAATTTAACAAAATGTACTAGATTATTCTCTAGGAGGAAAAAAATAGGAAAATAAACCAAAGGTATGTTGGCAGAGGATTGTTACATAACAAAAACATCATTATACTAATTAAGATAATGTAGTCCCTTAAGATGATTTAGAATTTCACCACATAGAATATAATAACAAAAATGCAAATAAAATGCAGATCAATTAACATAAAACTATTAAAAAGAAGAATATACTAGGGAAAACCATCCAAAACACAAAATAAAGGAAAAAATATAAATATTGGATTACATAAAGTGCAACTCTTTATATCAAATAACATCACAAGTTAAATTTATACAAGGTAAAATTTTCCTTTACACTGATATTTATAATACTAAAGAATATGGGTAAAAATATCTCCTAAATATCCACAACATTTGTAAAGAGGTTATGTATATTACAATATATCCACTTAATGATGAAACCATTAAGAGTTATGATTACATAAAAATTAATAACATGGAAAATGATGAAAAATATAGAATACCAAGATATGTATACTTTATGATTTCAGCTATATAAAAATATTCATTAACAATTAAATCAAACAGATAATCATATTAATCCTTATTATTACTCTTTTGCAAATATATCCATCTGTTTATTTTCAAATTTTTATATTTTATTTAATGCTTTTTTTTTTTTCTGGGGAAGATTTGCCCTGAACTAACATTTGTTGCCAATCTTCCTCTTTTTGCTGGAGGAAGATTGTCGCTGAGCTAACATCTGTCCCAATCTTCCTCTATTTTGTGTGTAGATCACCGCCTCAGAATGGCCACGGACGAGTGGTGTATGTCCATGCCTGGAAACTGAACAATGGCTGCCAAAGTGGAGTGCGCTGAACTCCAGCGCAAGACCACAGGGCCAGCCCCTTCAATGCATTTTCTGTAATTATATATACTTCTTTTATAATGTAAAAGTCAGCAAAAAGAAATATAAAAGTCTTTTTGACTGCGTTCTTTGCCTTTTACAATGGTCTTTAATTTATATTAGACTATGTCTTTAAATTCTGTACTTTTATCTCTTTTCATTATTCTCTACTATTAATTCTCATAATTCAGTTATCTTATTTCTTTTTTCTGATTATTTTTATCATGGTTATTTTTTGTTGCTGTTTTCAGCATACTGCTAAAAATACGTGTTCCACAACCAGAATAGTCTAGCCTTTTTAATCACCTAGACTTTCTAAAATGAGGACATCAAGATTAATTAAAAAATGAAATTCACTGAATTTTCACTGAACGTTATATTTTCTGAGATAAAAAGAAACTATTTGAATAATTCAGTGATACATTTTCCACATGTCAGACTCTATGTCTCAGATAAAATCAAAGAAACCAGACACATTAATATCTTCCACAGTCCCAAATGCCCTCACAAGCAATGTTGACCTGCTAAATCTTAGTTTGATCTAGGTAATGTAAACGGAAACAATGGATATGATTAAAAAATAAAAAAACTAATTATTAAGTTCTTGATTTCTTTAGGTTTTATTAATTTGTAAAGCTTGCTCTGATCATTTTTATACTGTGATGTGATAGTGTCAATAATTAAATAACTATCAACTAAAAGAAAGTGCTTAATTTACATTATCATTCAAGTAAAAAGCATATCTTTAAAATATAGACAATTATAAACTTTCACATTTTTATTGGGCAATAAAGATATCTTACTAAAATGATGATGGTTTTCAACAACAGGCAAGAAATAGACAAGATTTTGAGAAAAATTATTGATTGATTTTAAGTATTGATGGATAGATTCACAAACATAAATTGTGACTATTTCAATCATTCAACACAGATTACAAAGTATTTTGCCAAAACTTTTTACTTGAGGTGTAATTTAATTTCTAATTGTTGAATTTATAAACTGAAAATGGAAACTATTGTCACAATCTCATACTTTTGCTTCATTGCTGCAACATCCACAGCCAAACAGTGCTTTCCTGTACTCTTGATTATTTCTTCCAGTTTTCCACCTAAGTATCCATTTTGCTTCTTGTAATATTTGCTGCTATGTGGGAAATACCAAGGCTCTATTGTATCTTCTTTATTAATACCAAGATATCTTTTTCAACAGGGAGAAATGATCTTTACACACAACTTTGATTTCCATGGGACACATACTGTGATTTTTACTTGGAGAATAACCAAAATTGGAAACAAGAGTGAGTAAGCAAAGAAATCTCAATCTTTGATAAGAGTGCAGGTTTTTATTTGGTATTTATTTATTCATGCATAAAAATAATTTGATAAAATACCTACTATAATTGATATACATAGGCCTAGATATTGTTAATTATATCTATTTTATTGCATAACATGAAATGTCATTAAAAGACAACATATTAATGTATGAAATTAAAGAGCAAAACATAATGTCCCATATTCTTTTGCCTTAAACATATATTTCTATATTTCCTTTTTATCTGAATCACAGAATACCACTGAAATCACTTATTGTTAAATATCTTCAGATATAAATTCCCATTTGAGCATATTTATTATATCACTTACTATTTGGTTTTTGACAAATAAAACAATGGAGTTCACATAAAGCCCTCAAAAAGATTCTTGTGCTAATTATATAGGCTGTCTTTCTATTATACGTTTTGCCATTTTTATGAAGATGCAGCTGGATGGGGATTTTGATCATACTTTCACATTTTTATTTAGAAATTAGTTGTTCAAACATCCAATATTTTTTCAGTATAAATTCCCAAAATGAAAATATGGAAGAATTATCAAAAAATGAACAAGGAGGTAAAATCACAGTTCCATAACTCCTTAGCAGTAGAGTTATGTTGCCTAAAATCTGCCAAACTTCCTTCCTCCTCAATATTATTTAATAATTATTGCCTAGGCTGTTGTTAACAATGATAGTCAGTTTTTTTAAAAAAAATAAAATGCTACTCAATTGCCAAGAAACATTACCAACCTTGGAATTTATTAGTTGAATATCCTGAATACTGTAAATTATGCTCAAATATCCTGAACAATTAAATAATTTTGACTTTTTGAGTTTAAACAGAGAAAATATAGCCAATACAATGAATATAAAAGTGAATGTTTTTGAATGCAAAGTTAGGGCAAATCATAAATTATCTGTGCATATATTGAATAACTTCCAAAAATGATTTCACATCACTACTAGCTAAATTACGGAGGTTTCTATTTGACTAAAGAAACACTGAGTACTCTAATATAATAAAATCTTCATCTCATTCCATTCAGAATGATGAATATGCCTAAAAACATAAAAAATTAATACATTAATGAAAGTCACAAGGTTTGTGATATTTTTAAATGTTTGAATTGCTTACGTATTCACCAAAGTTTTATGCCCTTTCAAATGTGGGTACACTGAGCATATTGTTTTATTCACCAGCATTTAATTATCTTCTCACAAACCTCTCAAAATCTGAACTTGATCAAAGGCATTATTGTCACTTTGAATTATGTATTTATCTTCCAGTTTGCTATAAACCTCTCTATCTTTAGTTATTAAACAAGCACATCATTGATAAAACTACCAAATAGCGTCAGTCTTTCAAAAATAGCCATTCTATTTTATTCAATAACTATACATATAGTTTGTCTAAAGCCTCAAGAAACCAATAATATTAGAAAATACTGTAAAATGTTATATATATTAACTGGTAACAGAAAAGTCTAAAGAAAATAAGCTAATATTGAATGCTGATTTATAAAACAAACAAAACACACTAGTAACTAAGCTAAAAGATATGCAGTGGTCTAAGAGAAAATGTTTTAAAATGTATATATTACGATTAATTAAAGCTGAGATTGACAGAATATAAAATTAATAGACTTGTAAACAAGGTGGAAATTTATTTCTCCTTCCTATACATTAAGTCCAGAAGTAATGAGACCAGGGCTGGTTTGGCTGATCAGACTTTTATTTGGGACCCAACTTCTACATTCATTGTTGCTCTGACTTCCTTACCTCAGAACATGTACCTCATGGTCCAGCAATCATGCCAACATTTCAGCAAGCAGGAAAAAGGATGTGACAAAGAAGGGCAGACCTCTTACCTTTGAGCACTATTTCGGATTTCCCATTCTACATTTCCTCTTAGCACCCATTAGGAAGAATTTAATTTCATTGCCATACCTAGCTGACTGAGAAGTGCCGTGGTTGTATCTCCAGCTGAAAAGAGGAAGGGTGGAAATGGGACATCAAATTTATTAGTAAAATTCAATTCTTTTAAGATATTTGTGATCATTTTATTTTCTTTCACTATTTTGTGTATTACTTGCATGTGCGATATATTTTTCAAGAGATTTGTGTGTTATATTAGGAAGAAAATTGGATGGCTCTATAAAAACTATATTTAAACCCTTTTTCCTAAAAAAAGGATTTCTACTTATTTTTCTTCTCCTTTCTGGAAGATATTTACTCCTAATATAATTTCCTTCCACTCCATACAAATATAGTAAGTTATAAAAATATATTTAATTCTACTGTTTGAAGATTTTCTTTACATTAGTTGAACTAATAGTCACTGTTATGGAACTTTTAGTTTGGCCAATAAGAAATGAATATATTGTAACCAAAAAAAGTAAGCTGTCCTTGTAAAGTGAGCAGTTATCTTTGGAGGATTATACAAATGTATAACAAACCTGTCCCTTAATAGATCCTAGATCTAACAGAAAAATATTTTGCTTTTACTGGAAACCAGTAGGGCATTAACATGTGGAGGATATTAAACCTAAGGTAATCTTTTTCTTTTTTCTGGAATGGCTTAATTCAAATAATCAAGATATTAAGAGCTTGTTTGGTTATACTTAATGCCCAAATCACTTTAGTTTGTGTTTTCACCGCCCTTGGCCTTTTGGAAGACCTCTCTTTCCCATGTTTTCTTCTCACAATGTTCTCCTTTTATTTTCTAGATGATGCTTATATGTTTTCTGACCCTGGTGGCTGGAGTTTTTATCTGGCACCTGGCTTAGTCAATGGAACAGTTTTTATGCAAATTATGTTTTCTTCTACTGGAATCTACTACCCTTGCTTTTGTATTGCTTCAGCCAAAATTGATAAACTTGCTTAAACCCCCTTACCTCAAGGAAGTGTTCACACCAGGCTGGAAAATTTAATGAGAGTTTACTCAATGTTCAACAGCAAGCAAAAAGAATTTTGCCATTGAATACCTTAAACTTGAGCCTAAATATAGTTTCTTTTAGTGATGTATTAAAGAGATTCTAAGTGGACCCCTTATTGGGAACATCCATCTTAACACCATTCTTGACACCAAGTAAAACTTAAGTAACTTTAGAATCAAGAATTGCCTATGCACTTGTGCAAGTTTTGAGTCCTTCTATCCTCGTGCAAGATTCAAGCAGAGGGCACATTTATCAGTCTTCACAGAGTGCTGCACTCTCTTGCCAACTGCACAACTGCATTAGTAGATGTCCAAAGACTCAAGGGAAGGGGTATACATGAGAACTATGAGTTTGGCTTTTAGAATTGCCTTGACTTGAAAAAAGACTGTCCAATAAATAAAATTACAGATAAATTGTTAGATGCTATAGGCTCCTCTTCGGGTCAGAAAAATCTGCCCCATCATCAGTTCTTCCTTATTAAAACTTTGTATTTCAATTGGGGGGTTACATTCCTCTGCTCCAGGTTGACTATTTAAAAGACTTTATTGCAGTGAAAAGCTCCCTTCCACTGATGCCTTCAGGGAGCACTAGAGATCAGATAACTTCTTGATTAAACCTTGGTTCGGGGTTTTTACAGGATGGAGGAAGATTGGGTATGTGTCCTTGTAGTTTTGGCTTAGGCAGCATTTTTTGTCTTTAACTGAAACGGGATTGAACATTGTTCTTGCACGGTGCCTCTTGCTCTCAGTGGTTAGCGTGATCCTGATAACCATCAAAACAATACTTCCTGTTTCTGTGAGCCTCGTGTTGATTCGTCAAGGTTCACCAGGATGGAGAGGTAGCAAGAAGAGCCAAGGGAAGAAGGGAAAGAGGAAACTGGGGGTCTTCTCTCATGTTTGCTTTAGACCTTTTACACCTCTAAAGATACAATGTGTTAAAGTGGAATTCAATTCAAAAAGTAAATTTTCATTGGTGAAATTGGCTTTAAATATACATTTCTTTAGGAAAAAAGAAACTTTCCATAATATAAAACTTTCACATCTATGTGAAGTTTATAGCTTTCTACCTTATAAGTATGTGGTGTAAAGGGCAACCAAAATTTGTCAATGATTTGATTCTCTTCTTGCTCAGCAAATAGCAATCCAAATTAATGTGAACATAAAACAAAAGAATTTACCTAGAAGATTTATAAAAGAAGAGGAGGGACAAATAGAATCATCTGGAATTTATGCATTATCTGGTGAGACATCTGCAGCTGCAAAGTTTTGAATAAGCTTTAGAATTGAAAATGGGTAGTGATTGATGATCAATTTTAGAAACCTGATTTAATGCTTTTAATTTAGAATAGTGTAGCACTGGGCAATATTTTAAATAACGCTAACTTAAAGGAAGCTGATTAGAGAATAAAAGTACAGTCCAAAATAAGAAATAATATTTCAAGTGGTGAAATGTAACAGTTTTATAGCAAACTACCTTGTGCAATATAGTCTATTTTGTAGAATAGCTTGCTATATAATGGGATAAATTTTATATTAAAGGTTTTATATTTCATATCATATATTTTTAAATCTTTATACTCATTTGCACAATTTCCCAATATATGTATATTATTTCTTTAAATATATAAAAATATCTAACTATATATTATTGCGTTTAGTATAATACAGTCTGTATTTATAATAAAATAATAGGCATTATATAATATAACCCTCAGCTGCTGAGGAAATTTGTATACGTCAAATTCTTCATATTCTGTACTTCAGTTCCATTAATAGACATTTATTAAAAATGTGAAAGTCTGTTTTTGTAACATGTGGAGTCAAAATGATCAGATATTTTATGTTAATAGAAAACAAGATTACTTTTCTGAGCTTGGAAGTGAAGAATTACCACAGAGGGTAATAATATTAATCAAAAAGTATCAAAAGGCAGATTATCATGCAGCTAATGAAGCTTCAGCATTAAATTTCCTCACATACATTTCCCTTCCAAGGTCCTGGAAAGGGCCCTGGAAATATGATCAATGCAAAGATTTTTCCAGATT